CCAGGTGCCGCACCAGCTTCCAGAAGCTCGACTTGGGGTTCGAGCCGCCGTTGACCAACATAGTGAAGCCATTAACGGCGAAGAAGGCGGCGTCCCCGAGGCCGCCAGGGAAGATGTAGCAGCAAGGCCGGGCGAGCCTGAGGAAGCCCACGGACGCTGGTGGCTCCAGCAGCTCAAACGGGGACGGCAACTCCAGCGACTCGGCCACATACTCCAGGAACTCACGCAGGCCCTCGGAGGCCGGCCGCTGCACTGGGGGGTTCAGCCGCAGCCGGAGCCCGCCCTGGAGGCCGGGCACTTCGGGTGCCAGCTGGGCCCAGTCGCCAAAGGTAGGGCAGGTGATGGTGAGCTTGGGCGGGTCTGCAGATGGGGGTGCAGAAGCCAGGAGATCCCGGATCTGCAGAGGGGGGCAGTGGTTAAAGGGCCACCTGGAGCCAGGCAACACCCAGTACCTTGGGAAAACTGAGCAAGGACACCACTGTCCTGCCCCCGGGGTTGTGAGGGTCACTTGTCACCCTCAAGACAAAACCCAGGCCTCCCCCAGTCCTTTCTCACCCTGCTCCCCTAATCCCTCCCACCTCTCACTCTCCTTGCCTCAGGGCCTTTGCACTTGCTGTTCCCTCTAGGGAGGTCTTCCCTGCCCTCTCACTGGTTCTTCTCTTACCAAGGTTACATCACTCACTACAATGTGAACATACAGTTTTCAGAGGTTTTTTTGCTCATATGCCCCACCCAGACTAAGGGTTCCAGAATGGAATTGGGTGCCACTTGGTGCCTCCGGGATGCCTGTTCATGCGCAGGCACCCTCTTGAACCGCACACTGTAGTGGGTGATGGGACCACACCCCGACAACAGGCGGGATACTTGTCACCATCGTTCTTCCAGAGGAGGGGATGGGGCTCCAGACAGCAAGTCATGGGGGCCACACAGCCCAGTGGGAACAAACCAGGATGCAGAGCTCGGGGAGGCAAAGTGGGGAGGAGGCAGCTTACCTCTTTGTCCCTCAGAACCTGGAGGAAGTGGCGGGGTGAGAAGCCCCCAGTCTGGAGCAGCAGCTCCCCTGTCTCCTCCAGGCAGGGCCCAGCCAGCACCAGAAGCTTGTGAGGGGCAGTGTCTAGGAGAAGGTTCCGGAGCTGAGGGAGGGGGAGACTGTTAAGGCCCTATTCTGCACGGTGACAGAACCAGCACTCCCCATGGGTGACCACCAACCTTAAATCTATGTCTCCCTCACCCTCCAGACTCCTGCTCATCCTACAAAGCCTGGCTCCAGTGCCACCTCCTCCTGGAAGCTCTCTGCACCCTTTCAGGGCTCCCTCAAGCCCACCTCTCCCCATGGTCCAGCCCCAAAGCCATGGGCTAGCTGTTTCCTAGAGGGAGCATCTTTGATTAGAGGAATCAACCTGTGGGAGGGTCTCTACAGGAGTGCCCTGGGCTCTATCTTGTGCATCTCCTCCTAGCTACTGGGGAGAAGGATACAGACACCCACAAGCTAGACGTACTACGAAATCAATTCAGACAACTACTAGGGCCCAGCCAGAGGGAACACAAAGTGCCAACATCAATCAGGCCCTGCCTTCCCACTCCCCGCCCCCAGACCCTCCCTATCCCATTCCTTCCTCCCAAACTCCAGCCTTTCTGATCCCACCTGCTCCCATCATCACCCATGCGGAGAGGATAAACTAGAGCTGGAGCCATGGGGGTGGGGAAGGCTTCCAGGGGGCGAGGGCCCTGCTGCTGGGTGCTGGGAAGAGGACTTCAGGCAGCATGAAGTCAAGGACACGGGGTCAGGATGGGGGCTGGTGTCAGTCCCGCCGCCCACGCCCCCAGGAGCTGACGGGTCCCTACCTCGTCACACAGGGACTTGTCTGACGGGTTCACGAGGACCAGGATATCCAGGGCGTCCCCTCGGAGGTGCAGGCTGCGCTGGCCTAAGTGGGAATTGGACCCTGTGAGTTTGGAGCTGGGCCACATACGCAGAGTCAGGCTGTCCAGGGCCAAACCTGCCTCCCCGTGTGACCCCAGGCAGCCACACGTCCGTCCCTTCAGGATCTGTTTCCGGGGGATCCCAGCCCGGCAGAGCTGGCCTCCATGGTGGTGCCCCAGGTCAGGGTGAGGCAAGAACAGGAAGCCTTCCTCAGCAGGCCTCCCACTGGAAACAGCAGGGACAAGGCCACCGCTGCTGGAGGCCCAATTCCCAGCTGTCAGCTGTGGGGGACGCCATCGTCACCCCCACTTTATAGACAAGGAGCCGAGCCCAGGGAGGGCCATGCGGGAACATGGACCCTGAAGCAGGTCTATAGGAGGATGGAGAAGTGGCAATTGGGGCTGGAATGCGGGGCAGCAGGGGGGAGCCGGACAGGGAAGCCTCATGAGAGGAGTGGGGTTAATTCTGGGATTCCAATCCTAAACTGCCCCATGGAGTCCAGATGTGCTTCCAATATGGTGCACCCGGCCCGGAGGAGAGAGAGGCAAGGACCCTCCAGGGTCACACACGTGGCTATTGGCTCATTCAGGCGGGGAAACCAAGGCACAGAGAGGGGAAGGGGCCCCTGAGGTCGCACAGGGCCAGCAGGATTTCCAGTCCCCCCTTCCCACGAGGGGTCAGGAAGCACCAGCACCGCCGGGACAATGAGACTACGAGTCACTTCCTTCCCCTCCCACAGCAGCCTGGAGGTGACTCAGGGGGCTGGCTGCAGGGCCGGCTGAGGTGGGGAAGCTACCGGCAACACCAGGCCCGGCCAGCAGCTGGGCCGTTGCCCTGCAATCACCGCAGGACCTCCAAGGAGCCACGGGCTCTGTGGGTCTTGCTCAAGCGTCTCCACTCCCCCTGGGCCCTGCTCCCTTATCGGCTCCAAGCTACCGAGTACCCACTATGTACCCGACCCAGTGCAGGGGTCTCAGGCATGAACCAGACGCATTCTCTGCCACACGAAGCCCACAAACCATCCTCCAGGCCTGCCCGGCAGCCCCTCACTGTCCAAATGCCTTGTCCTTTGCCTGGGCCCTTCCCTCCACCCGGCACAGCAGCCCCAGATGCGTCTCCTCTAAAGCCCCCTCGTCAGAGGTCTCCCGGCCTCCCGCACCTCAGCTGCCTCATCTGTCAAATGGGAACAGAAGCACAAGTACCTGCCTCGTGGGCTGTTGAGGACCGAGGTATAGAGACGTCTGGACCAGGACCCACCCCCGCTCCATGCTCAGCGGAGTTGGGGGTATTGTCACTGTGGTCGAGGCGTTCAGAGAACACTTGCCCACGATCACACAGGGTCCCCAGCCTCACCTTTCACGATGCTGGAGAAGGTGGCCGAGTGCCGGGACACAAAGATCTTGAGCTGCTCGTCCAGGCTGCAGATGCCAGGGTCAATGTCCCAAGACTGGAGGCCTGGGGGGAGGGGGGGGTCGCGGTGGAGGAGGTGGGAAGTCAGTCAGCCCCCACCTCAACGGCCCCGGCCTCTCGCTCATCTCAGTCATCTCCGCCCCTCCAGCACCTGCGCCCGCCCCCATTGTTCCTTCCCACTACCAGGCCCATCTTCACCTCTGGGCCTTGGCACCAGCTGTGCCCATTGTCTGGGCACCACCCCCTCTCAGGTGCTCTACGCCATTGCATCCTTCTGCACCGTGCTGACACCATGCAAGCTTAAAGCTGGTTCCTCCTCACTCACCTTGGGTCCACGCCCCCGCCCCCCACACACACACCGTCAACCCTGTGACAGCAGAGCTGAGCCTCCAGTCTTCCCCCCCACCGTGCGCCCTGCGGGGGAACACTCTCCAAGCATGAGAACCGCGTGTGCTGCCGCCCCATTTCACAGGCGATGGAGCCCAGGCCCTGCGCATCGGAGAGATGAACGCCCTCCAACCACAGGTGGGGCGCACACGCCGGCCAGGGTGCCAAGTAGCGGCAGGTGAACTGAACCTTGCAGGTGCACCTATGACTCACCTCCGCTGGTGCCAAATCCCACTGGCAGCCGCCACCGCCCACACCCCCATTAGCAGCTCCCCCTGGAGCTGCAGAAA